AACCCAAGAGGAGAGTCGATTCATTGGATCTTCAAACTCCTTCTTGAAGCACAATAGTGCTTGCATCTCCCTCTCCTTGCAAACCCCCAAGTTGTTGCTTCCGCTACAATTGCACAGCTCCATAAGCACAAAGGCGAAGAGGATGATGAAGAAATAACTAGTTTGATGGACGAAAGTCGTCCCCATTATGAGGAAAGTTTTTCAAGCTTAATATATATGACTCTATGAATGTAATGCTTTGCTTATGTTTATTTGTTCGCTGGATAATAGATATATATATACACACACTTCATATGCTATAGCGCGTTATTACTAAGATGGGCGGGAAGCTTCCTTGACAACTACGAAAAACATGGACCGGAAAATGCATTGCATGTCTCAATCCGTATATAATACTTTTGAGAAAAAATGTAATACTTTTAAATCAAAATGTAAAAGTATTACATTTTTTCTTTAAAAGTATTACATTTATCCTTATAAATAAATTTTTTTTTTATTCTTAATTAGTATTACATTTAAGCATATAAGTATGACATTTGTGTGTACAAGTTAAGTATTACATTTTTATCTTGACCCGACCCGACTCATGATGAGACGGTCTCACACAAATTTTTAACAGTATATAATTGTACGTTGCAAAACTGACATGAATTCTACTTTTAATTTTTAATTATTGTGATATTTAGACATTTAGTCTTATTATTCTTTAATTTTTATAACATTACATTCTTGATTTTTTTTATACTATTAACTCTATTATAAATTAATATTTGTTCTATATTTTTATTATCTATTGTAGTCTAAAGAGTCAAATCTCACCACTGGTGTATTTAAATTTCACTATCTGTATTTAAATTTTACGCTAGGCAGGTCAATATTCAATATCGATGTGCTCAGTTTACAATAAATTGCAAAGTCGAGTATTAGTTACGTAATTTTAATCACCCAGAATTCATGTTAAATTTGATATATAATTGCATTGTTACTTGCGAGTCTTTAATCTTTAGTTGTCATTATCCCTGAAATGAATTATTCTACCCCAAATTGTAAGTTTGCTCCGTCAAGGCGTCAACAACTAAAGACAAAGACTTACAAGTGTCAAATAGACCCATCTACTACTGCGAAGTGCTCAATTTTCACCACGAACTAAATTAAGTGTCAAATAGACCCATTTACAAAATGTGCTCAGTTTACAATAAATTGCAAAGTCGAGTATTAGTTACGTAATTTTAATCACCCAGAATTCATGTTAAATTTGATATATAGTTGCATTGTTACTTGCGAGTCTTTAGTCTTTAGTTGTCATTATTCCTGAGCTTTCTCAATCATTAACCAATTTTTAATGAAATGAATTATTCTACCCCAAATTGTAAGTTTGCTCCGTCAAGGCGTCAACAACTAAAGACAAAGACTTACAATTCTAACCCAAAATACATGTTAACTATGATAGCAGCATTGCAAGTCATTAGCCTTTTTTTTTTTTAAGGAAAGTCTTTAGTCTTTTCTCTTTAGTCGTTACTGTCCTGACTCCTGAATGGCTGAGTTGTCTGGGTCATTAACTAATTTTTTGGGGAACTATCTTACACCACAAAATTTAATAGGTGCAATCCTTACATTTAAAAAAAAAAAAAAAAAATCTTTCTTTGGATGACTATGTAAACCTATAGACAGTACTAGGTAAATATTACTTTTGTGTAAAAATTATTTAAGAGAGCATGTTGGAAAGACCATGACCACATGCATAATAGACATAAATTTCACTAGGAAGATCACTCCAAAAAAATGTTAATAAGAATCGACTTGTAATCTTTAAATACAAAATTCATACTTTACTCACTCGGCCATCTTTTTGAATTTTTTACTTTCTTTACTTGTAGCTAGATGGAAGATTTTTCAATTCATTTGCAGAACCAACATCTTTTAACGTTTGTTGTGACCTACTGTCTCAATCTATGCATCAACCACAGGAAATAGACTCTTCTTCCTGGAGCCATAGCCTAGACTTAGGGAATTTTGTACGACTTGTTAACATGATACAGAATTAGACACGCAAATAACGGGTCAACTGACTTAACCCGTTAATATTACCATTAGTTATGATTTTTAAATATTATTTTATGAATATTATGGTATGCTATGAATTAAATATATATGTATACTATTTTGTTGATTTAATTATAGGTTTAATAAAATAATTTTTTTCGTTTAATAAAATAATTTTTTTCTAAAGTTTTATTTTCTAAAAAGAAAATTATATTAACATGTCTAATGAGTTCTAAATATATAAAGTTTTATTGTAGCAGTTGTTACATTTAATTACATTCTTCAAATTTTGTCTCATTACATTTTTAACTTAAATTTTGTTTACTTACAACGACAAATGTTGAAAAAGACGCAAGGCGCCCTGGGGGCGCCTAAGCGTTGATTTTTTGACGCCTAGGCACTCGATTTATTTATTTATTTATTTCTATAAATAAAAGATTTAAAAGAAAAAAAAAAGAGCAAAACCTAACTAAAAAGTAAAAGGTAAAAATTGATAAAAAAAAAAAAAAAAAAAAAAAAAAAGGGATAAGGGTCAAATAGACCCTCAAACTATATATCAAAGTGCAATTAGGCCCTCAAACTAAATAAACATCCAATTAAAACCTTAAACTTGTTAAAAGAGTGCAATTAACCTATTTAATAGGTTACTAAAAGGTAAATGATTAATTTTGCTTGTTTGGCATTTGACATGGCATTTCAATTTAATAATTATAAAAAAAAAAAACTAAAAAAGTAGTTACTGTAGGCGAAGTCGCCGGTTTCAATTCTTCGTTAGATTGGAAGAAGAAACCGGCGTGCTTCCATCCAAATTGAACGAGAAGACAACGATTTCTCCGTTAGATTTGAATGGAGAAGCCGGTCATTTTCTCCATCCAAACTAAACGGAGATGCTGGCTCCTCATCGGAGAAGCCATGGCTACTCATTTAGATTTGGACGGAAAAGTCTGCCGACTTCTCCGTCAACCATGACATTGTTGATGGCTTGTTTTTGTTTTTTTAGTATAATTATTTATGTTAAATTTAAATGGAGAAACCAACGTTTTTCTTCTTCCGAACGAACCGAGAAGCCCGCCGGCTTCTCTGTCAACCATGGCAGTTTGGCTGCCGTGGCTTTCCTGTGTGTTTCAGTATTTTTTTTGTTGGTTTTATGTTATATTTGAACAGAGAAGCTAGCGGGTTTTTCCGTCTGAACTAAACGGAGAAGCCCGCCGGCTTCTCTGTGACTTTGTCAACCATGGCAGCCATGGCTTTCCTGTGTTGCATGTTTTTGTTTTTTTGTTTTTTTGTTTTTTTTTTTTTTGGTTTTATGTTATATTTGAACGGAGAAGTCAGCGGGTTTCTCCGTCTGAACTGAACGGAGAAGCCCACCGGCTTCTCTGTCAACAATGGCAGCTATCATGGTGTTGTAGTTTTTTTTTTTTTTTTTTTTAAATGTTATATTTGAACGTAGAATCTTGTGCACTTGGCCGAACTACACACAAAGAAGCCTGCGCATTTTTTCTGTTTGAAGGAGAAGCCCATCCGTCTGCTTCTCTGTTTGACCCTTATCCCAAAAAAAAATAATAAAATAAATAACATACGTACTTGAAGGCTGACTGGCTAGGGCTCAAAGCCTACAAATTGATCATCACTTTACATTAGCCTGAAACATAATCATCAAGGTGCCCTTTCTGCGTCTGCTTATAATATGTTTCTAGTTCTAGAATTATGCTACTACGTGAATGTGTTTAGTTGGTAGTCTATTGTAGCAATTGCATTCAATTATCAGGTCTGACATCAGATCCACAGTCAACTATTCGGAAGAGTGCTCTGGAGGCTCTCTTTAATATTTTAAAGGACCATGACCATCTCTTCTCTCAATTGTTTTGGGTTAGTGTTTTCAATTGTGTTATCTTCCTAATATTTAGTTCTACATGATAAAACTGAATCAGGAATTAAAGGATTATCAATCTTCCCCAATATTTGGATCTTTACAAATTGATGTGGGACTCTGATCTATTTATTAGTTTCTTTGATGTGTAGTATTAGTGGGATTTATAAGAAGTCCTGGCCAGGGTCCTGCAAGTACTAGTGTATCTTCACTAATACATTTGGCTGGTGAATTGAGAGGCAGACTTTCAAAAGAGGAGTGGTGTGGCTTTGCTTCTAGTGTTTGTATGTGAGAAAATTCTGCAAATTTAGTTGAATTGTGCTGGGTTGAGCTCTGTACAGCAGCAAGCAGTCAACAAGCCAAAGCTTCACTGGACTCCCCCGTTGTTCTAGTTCTTTCTCTATTACATAATTTGAGTAGTTTGGAAGGCGACATACTTTTGAGAAGTATGCTTCACAGTTGTTCATAGATTTAGTCCGGAGTGAGCATAGCTCTGGAGAAGTTCAGCGAGTTTTGTAAACTTTCCGTACTTGAATATGTAGACTTTTGTATTTGAATATTGTTTGATGTTATTATTTAACAAATATTTGTTACAATTGATTTTCTATTAAATCACTGCTGGAATTCTGCATTTTTCCGACCACCAAAAAGTGGTCAGAAAAGAGTGATTTTCGGTCGAAAATGCAGTTTCCGACCAATTTACCGACCACTTTATGGATTCGGAAAAAAGGCCCTAGCTATTACCGACAACTAGTCAAGGTGGTCGGAAATACCGGCTTCTATTTTAGGACGTCGGAGCTACTAGTTGTCGGATAAAGAGAGCATATTTCCTATCACTGGTGGTCGGTAATTGGTCGGAATTACCTTCTACCGGTGGTCGGTAAGATTTACAATTAAAAAATTAAAAATTTTGAATTACCGACCACTAGGTGGTCGGTAAGATTTACTAAAAAAAAATTTAAAATTCTACAAATATCAAATGAATTAGCCAATCATTTAAATCAAGGTGCAGCAATTGTTTCAGCTTCAAGATGGAGGATTGAAATGAATGCAGCCTAATTGATTAGTCAAGATCTAAAAGAGAATATTGTGCACAAAACATCATATTTGATATCATTGTATCATCAAATTGTAGCTCTAAATCTCAAGCATAAAAAACATTGGTAGTCAAAGTATAAAATCATACATCAATTATGTAAATCACTAGTAATAATCTAAAATAGCATAATTTCAGTAGAAACATCCAAAAATTTGCATCAAATGATAAAAAAGGAATCAGATTTCTTATTTTGACATTACCAGGCTTAGAGGAGTCTGCCAGCTTCGGAACAGAAATGGCTGATTTCTCATTCTGACATGAAACATTAGGGTTTAAGTATCTGTCATCTTCTTCATCATCTGAAACCTGTAGACATTGAAATCAGGAAACACTAAATATGTTGTATTGCAAAAATAAATAGAGAATTAGGAACAATTATCTGCATATATACAAAGATTGCATTTTAGAATTCAAATTAAAGACACATACTTGGACAGAGACATCTCCACTATATGCACTAATGCTCTCATTTAGACCTTCGTCCTGTCCCATTATCAAATTTATTGAATTGATATGAGAAAAGAAAATAGAATTGATAATTTCTTGCTAAGTTCAAGCTGCAAGCTAAAAGCTAATATGTCTTGTTACCTTCCGTTCTTGAAAAGCTCTAGGAATTGCTTCAAACCCTTTCTAAGTATACATATTCTTTGCCTTCCTTGAAAGAACCTGAAAATCGAGGTCAAGCAAAAAGAAGAAGACAACGTCAGTAATCCAAGTAATTAATTGGATCCAAAGATGAAGTTAATGCCAATTTAGAAGATCTTACACCAACACTTTCAAGAACATTCACAATGTTAAAAATCCTCCTCCTTTCAACCCCTAAATGTCACTTACCCAGATGATAAATTTTTGTTGCAGGCAGGATTGATGATGCATGCTTAGCAAGAGCTAGGCCAGCTCTCAAGATGGAAACAATCTGTAAGTAGGACATAGAAAATTAATTAAACATATAATGAAGGGAAATCAATGTTAGGAGATATTCAGGGACCAGTTTTGAAGAGGACATAGAAACAAGAAAAATGTGCCCAAGTATATACAGCACTGATGCAGAACTTAAAATACTAACCACAACAGGTTCACTTGGATCAATAAACTCAACAGAGGCAATAGCCACCGGTGTTTGAATCTTGGGCTGTTTTGGTTGGCTGGAAATAATGGTGAAAAGTAGTTAAATGAGCATTTCAGACAATAAATGTCCTAGAAGGAGCAGGTGTTACAAAAGCACAATAATAAGGTTAGCTGAACATAACAAACAGTAGAGACTGAACATCAGTAGCCTAAATTGTAAATTAAAAGTCCAGTTTTTATTCAATTTATTACACTCAGTTACTATATTCATTCATTATATAATAAATATTCATATTCAGAAGCAATTGTGAACAAAACATGCATCCCAATGACCCAATGTAACTCACCAACCAATCTCTTGAAGCTTCGTATATTAGCAATTTCCGTAGCTCAGCCATGGCATTCTCTGTAATTACAATTAAAAGTTAAAAAAAAAAGCACAAACACAAACACATAGTTGAGAAGAACAACCCCTATGCCTGATGTGTAAAATAAGTTAAATAACAGAGCAAGAGCACAAAACCACCGATACAGACGTTAAAGACAGGCTAATGGATCCAAAACTAGAGGCATTAAGAATACAGAGAAATTGTCGAAACTTATCTCTAATTTGAGTAATACATCCTGCGGAAATTTTACACAAAGCCAACAAGGATATAGAACAGAGAATAATCACAGATGGCATTACAGTTGGCTGCCAAATGGAAATTCAACAGACAATAGTGTCAAAATGTGGCTTACAATTTTCCACCAATCTGGTTCATACCATTTATGGCCATGTTAATTTGAAGCAAAGGCAAGTCTTTAAATATTTATTAATAATAATCACAGATGAGATTAAACACTTATGCAGATGCTAAGGTTCTAAACATTATTAATTACTGAGCAAGTTTTCCTGTCAACTTACTGCTCAGAAAAAACTGCGCCTGATTTCATACACCCAGCATATACACGAAGGTTGTCCATATATGTTGCAAGTGTGCTCCCTAAAGCATCTGCACATAATTATAGAAAACAATTCACTCTTTGCAATATTAAAACTTCACTAAACTAACTTGCAAGCTCATAGTTCTTCAATATATTTCATGTAACATAAAACTGCCATCAAATCTAATTCAATTCTCTTACTGTGACTAGATTACTGCAACTTGGGGTACCAAAGAATCATTAAACATACCAATATTCACATAAACATCATCGTTGACTTTGGCATAAAAATCAGCAATCCAACTATCACCAGCATGGACAAGAAATAGTTTCGTCTTTTTTGAGATTTCTTCATGTGCCTCAACATGGTCTTCCTGCCCAACACAAAACTTGAGATTGAGAAGAAGCTGATGTAATGCAGCTTACATAAACTGGCTGTCATTTAATGCAAGGGTTCAGGTCTTTGTTTAGAAAACTTCAGGCTACTATTTAGATTTTCATCCCTAGCAACACTTTTTGTGAATATGCAATGTAATTTTAACTTTGGAGCTTAATTGGTTTTCATTACTACTTTATGTATTTCTAATCAAAGACTCAAAGTTACCCAAGTTATGCAAAACTATTACCAGCGGACATGCCTGATTATTCAAAATCCAAAATAGTAGGAACTAGGAACTGAGATTTGACTATTCAAGTAAAAGCTTTAAAATCATTTCTGAAAAAGGTCAATTAGCCAACTGACTTACAAGAATGAAAAAACATTGGTTTCCCTGTTTTCATTGTCGATACTTCTGTCCAAGCTGTTCCCACGGTTAGAACTGCATATCAGTAAGTCATCATAATTTTAGTTTCAAAAAAATATACTGATAAAAGAAGGAAGGGCCACTGTATAACTATAAGAAATTAGAAGAGTTCCACCTTCTCCCAATGAAAAATCATGCAATAATTCCCTTCTCATCCTCCATCTTTTTCAAGGCCGCACCTGCACAGCACAACTAAGGTATAGATATCATAACGTGGAAGTAATATGCAAAATGAATCCAAGGAAACCAAATTTAGATCAAGTAGACATATTTGAGAAATCATCAGGAATTATCATGACCTTTTCATAATGTGACACTTTCAAGTGACAATAATTAGAATTTTAAAAGAATTTGATAGGAACAAAGGAATCTCAATTTCACAACACAAGTGAAGGACCATTAAAAGCATCGAAACAAACTCAAGACACAATCTGTCAAGATTTTAAAACAGAATGTCAAGACAAGAGAGAAAGTGAAACTCTACCTCTGGACATCCATGCCTTTCATCTAGCATCTCTATCATTTTTGCGCCGAAAACTAGTAAGAATCCCAATCACAACTAAAGGCCTTTGCTTAGGATTCCCATTCACATCTGCTAGCTCCTTAGGAAGAAAACCCTCTCATCGAGTAGCTGTTAGTTCCATTTCCAAGGATGAAAGTTTCTTCATTTGGTACACAAGAATAACAATATGTGAGAATTGAATGAAAATGGAAAGAAAATGATATTAGTAAATCAAAGTTAATTATCCAAGAAAAAATTTTATATATATATATATATATATATATATATATATATATATATATATATATAATTCTTATTCCTTGTTCCATGAGGATCTCTATTCATTCCCTGTAGTGAAGGGAAAAACAGTATAAAATGAATTCATGATTTCTAGAGGATAACAATTCAAATGGAATTGATATATCAAATGCAAGAAATGATTTCGAGGTTAGACTTGGGGTTCCATTCCAACCCTATTCATGTGTACCAAATGGAGCCTTGTGGAATTCTATAAATGTAACTTTAGTGATAAAATTAAAATGAAGTTTTGCCTACCTGCACTCTATGATCTTCCAAGTGTCATCTACAGAGATTGCAGATTGTCCCAATAATGAAGAAGAAAATATAGTCAACTTAAGCACTATAAGTGATACATTTATTATTCCTGTTTGTTAATGCACAGATAAACAACAAATAATGGATGTTACTACAAAGGTATGGAGTAGTAAATAATTCAGTATGGAAAGCCTATTATCAAGGCCATAAGAAATAGCATAACAAGAGATAATATGATGTCATCCACTAGCAATTCTTCATAATTTACAGTAGAGAAAAGTATGTGTTATAATAATATTATTATTATAATTTAATTAAACCAAGTATGTGGGAGTTGTGGCAATGCATGCAGATTGAGGATGCAGTAAGTGGGTCATGACTTTACAATACATGGAGCATGCATCTCCTAAATTTATGCTTTACTAGTTTTGTATTCACTATAAATAGGCTTGTTATTAACCATTTTAAATCATCAATTTGAATCACAAAGCATTCTTTCCTCTCTCTCCCTCTTTCTCTAATATATATATATTATATATATATATATATTATAGATATATTATATTATATTTAATATATATTATATTAAATATATTAATATATCTAACATTTGGTATCAGAGCCAGTCAACCTTTCAACCCCGAGGTATTTTTCATAGTGAATTATGGCCACAAATTTCAATATTGTATGGTCGGGTCCCAAATTGGACGGGAACCTCGATTACAATTATTGGCAAATTATGATGTCCACACATTTGCAAGCTCAAAATCTTTGGAGCTTTGTTGATCCCGGTCTACCCGAAGGAGCTGATGCAGGCGCTATACGGCGAGATAAATTGGCCTTGGGTCAGATTCACCAAGGTGTTCATTATTCCATTTTTGGGCAATTAGCTCGTGCTCAAACAGCAAAACAAGCTTGGGACATCTTAAAGGTGTCACACAAAGGAGTTGATCGGGCGCAGAAGTCTAAGTTGCAGTCGTTGAGAAGGTTGTACGATAATTGTGAGATGACCTCTACAGAAACAGTAGATGCGTATTTCACTCGTCTTATTGATATGGTGAATAAGATGAGGCTATATGGAGATACGATTGAAGATGGTGCAATGGTTGAAAATGTTCTTCGAACTATGCCGATGAAGTATGACCATGTGGTGGCTTCGATCACAGAGTCACACAAAACTGAGCTCTTATCAATTGCAGAGCTGAAAGGTATGGTAGAAAGTCATATTGACAGGATTGCGTCAAAATCGGAACCACTAGCAGAAGAAGCTTTGAAGAGTCAAGTCACCCTTAATGTGACTGGCACTAATCAAAGAGGTGGAGGATCTGGTAGAGGTCGTGGAAGAGGAAGAGGAGGTTCTGGTGGAAGAGGTCGTGGTAACTTCAACCAAGGAGGAGGACGTGGTAACTCCAACCAAGGAAGAGGTGGAGGTAATACCAAACAAGGTAAATTTCCATTTCATTGCTACAATTGTGGCAAGTATGGGCACAAGATTGCAGATTGTTGGTATAATGAGGACAACAATCGTGGAAATCAAGCAAACATTGCTGAAAATACTGCTGAAAAGTCTGGTGAGAGTTCTGAAACTTTACTTTTAGCCAGCGATAGTTTTTCTGCAGATAAGAACATATGGTTCTTGGATACTGGGTGTAGTAACCATATGTGTGGGAAGAAAGAATTGTTTTCCGAACTAGATGAATCAGTCCGGTCTGAAGTAACGTTTGGCAATAAGTCAAAGGTGCCAATTTTGGGAAAAGGTAAAATCTCTATTTAGTTGAAGGATGGTACTCACAATTTTATATCCAATGTGTTCTATGTTCCTGAACTACACCAAAATTTGTTGAGTATGGGTCAGCTGTCAAAAAAAGGATATAAGATACATATTGCTCAGGGGTGTTGTACCATTGAAGATGCTAAAGGAGTTTTGATTGCAAAGGTAAATATGTCCCAAAATCGACTATTTCCTTTGAAAATTAAGCATACTCTCCTTGATTGCTTTAATTCTGAAGTTTGTGATGATAATTGGTTATGGCATATGCGGTTTGGGCATTTTCATTTCTCTGGATTAAACTATCTTGCGAGAAAGGAACTTGTTTCTGATTTACCTGTTGTGAATGTCCCTGATCGTATCTGTGAGATTTGTGTGATTGGGAAGAAGCATAGAGATCCCTTTCCCGTGGGCAAGTCAAGGAGAGCTACAAAACAGTTGGAGATTATTCACTCAGACCTATGTTCGTTGGAGGTTCCCTCACATGGAGGTTGTAAGTACTTTATTACTTTCATTGATGATTTCAGTAGAAAAACATGGGTTTACTTTCTGAAGCAAAAGTCTGAAGCATGTGATGTTTTCAAACAATTTAAGGCTTTTGTTGAAAAGCAGAGTGGTTATGAAATTAAAATCTTGAGAACTGATAGAGGTACAGAATATATTGCATGTGATGATTTTCTGAAAAAGAAGGGTATTCAACATCAGATGACAGCTAGATACACTCCACAACAAAACGGAGTGGCTGAGAGGAAGAATAGGTCTATCATGGATATGGTAAGGTGCATGTTGAAATCCAAGGATCTGCCTAAACCTTTTTGGGCAGAAGCTGTTGCTTGTGCTGTCTATGTGTTGAATAGGTGTCCAACTAAGAGTGTCCGGGATAAGACACCCGAAGAAGCTTGGAGTGGGAGAAAACCCTCTATCAAATATCTCAAGGTTTTTGGATGTTTGGCATATGCACATGTGCCAGATCCATTGAGAAAGAAGTTGGATGATAAAGGTGAGAAATGCATATTCATTGGTTATAGTGACGCTTCAAAGGCTTATAAACTATACAATCCTGAAACTAAAAAGGTTGTTATAAGTCGTGATGTCACTTTTGACGAATATGGTGCCTGGGATTGGTTAGCTAAAGATGAAAGTTCAGTTGTTATTCCTGTTGTTGAAAATATTGTTGATGAGCAACCGATTCCAAATCATGTCCAGTCTCCTTCACAGCCAGAGTCGTCAGTTCGACGATCTCAGCGCGAGCGCCACTTACCAGCTCGCTTGCAAGATTATGTTTTGGGTCATGATAATGACCTGTCTGATGAAGAGATTGTTCAATTTGCTCTCTTTGCAGATTGTGATCCTTTATCTTTTGAGGAGGCTGCTATAGAAACTCATTGGCTTAAGGCGATGGATGAGGAGATCTGTGCCATTGAAAAGAATGGTACCTGGGAGTTAACAGATTTACCTCCTGGAAAGAAACCAATTGGAGTGAAGTGGGTTTACAGAACGAAGTACAAGTCAAATGGAGAAATTGACCGTTTTAAGGCAAGGTTAGTAGCAAAGGGTTACAAGCAGAAACCAGGTATTGATTATTTTGAGGTTTTTGCTCCTGTAAGTAGACTTGATACAGTTCGTATGATTATTTCTCTTGCTGCTCAAAATGATTGGAAATTGCATCAAATGGATGTCAAGTCTGCTTTTTTGAATGGTTTTCTTGAAGAAGAAATATATGTTGAGCAACCTGCAGGATTTCTGAAGAAAGGGGAGGAAAATAAAGTGTACAGGTTGAGAAAAGCCTTGTATGGCTTAAAGCAAGCGCCTAGGGCGTGGTATGGTTGCATTGACTCATATTTTGTTGAAAGTGGTTTTATGAGATGTCCTCATGAACACACTTTGTATGTCAAATGCACTGATTCTGGTGATATTGTTTTAATCTGTCTGTATGTTGATGATCTGGTTTTTACTGGAAACAACTTGAAGCTAATCTCAGAATTCAGGGAGGCACTCATTAAGAGGTTTGAAATGACCGATATGGGCCTTATGTCTTACTTTCTTGGCCTTGAGGTTATTCAGATGGATGGTGGAATCTTTATTTCACAGAAGAAGTATGCTGCTGATATTTTGAAAAAGTTCAAAATGGAAAACTCCAAACCAGTTTCAACTCCGTTAGCTGAAAAGTTAAAGGTGTCCAAAGATGAGTGTGGTAAGAATGTGAATGTTACAGCTTATAAAAGTTTAATTGAAAGTCTGAGGTATCTGGTGGCAACAAGGCCAGATATTTCTTTTGGAGTTGGAATACTTAGCAGATTCATGGAGGAGCCAAAAGAATCACATTGGGCTGCAGCAAAGCGAATTCTGAGATATGTGAAAGGTACGAGTAATGATGGACTTTTTTACTCTACTAATGAAGCTGTGGAACTTGTTGGGTACACAGACAGTGATTGGGCTGGAGATATGGAGACCAGAAAAAACACATCAGGATATGCCTTCTATCTTGGTTCAGCCATATTTTCTTGGTCGTCAAAGAAGCAGCAGATTGTAGCACTTTCAACAGCAGAAGCAGAATATATTGCAGCAGCAAACTGTGCTACTCAAGAAGTTTGGCTGAGGAGAATTTTGGAGTTCTTACAACACGAGCAGGAAGCACCTACAACTATTTTTTGTGACAACAAGTCAGCAATATCGTTGTCCAAAAATCCAGTCTTTCATGGTCGCAGCAAACACATTGATATCAAGTATCACAAAATCAGAGAGTTGGTTGTTGAAAAACAAATCAACATTGAGTATTGTTCAAGTGAATGTCAAGTTGCAGATATCTTTACGAAGCCGTTGAAGACAGAGATATTTCTTAAATTGAAGAAAGATATTGGGATGACCAATATATCCAACTTGGTTTAAAGGAGGCAATGTTATAATAATAATATTATTATAATTTAATTAAACCAAGTATGTGGGAGTTGTGGCAATGCATGCAGATTGAGGATGCAGTAAGTGGGTCATGACTTTACAATACATGGAGCATGCATCTCCTAAATTTATGCTTTACTAGTTTTGTATTCACTATAAATAGGCTTGTTATTAACCATTTTAAATCATCAATTTGAATCACAAAGCATTCTTTCCTCTCTCTCCCTCTTTCTCTAATATATATATATATATTATATATATATATATATATATATATATATATATATATATATATTATAGATATATTATATTATATTTAATATATATTATATTAAATATATTAATATATCTAACAGTATGCAAACACAGACAATCCCATAAGAAATAGCATTTCAAGAAACCAGCAATCATGTCAATGCAAATTAGCTCATGAGAAAATCCATCTTCTCGGAAAGAACGACTATGAAAATGTAGATACCTGACCAGTTATCCTATCAAGATCTTTTGTCAAGTAAACTCTGTTTTTCGCATCTATCCATAAACTGCTCCACAAAAAAAAAAATAATAACAATAATAATGTTTATCAAAATTAACTTTATGCACGTACAACTGTGAAATTGGGTGAAGGTGAGATTGCCAATCAAATGAATTAAAGCATATAAGTTTATAAGCATAAAAACAAAACAAATTAAATAACAGGACGCTTAAGCTTTCCTAGATCCAGCAATTCAGCTCGAAAAAAATTAAATCCAGCAGTGAAGTCCTTTTTAATTTATGAGGCAATTAACGAATTCGGGGGGATTTAAAACTCAGAAGAAGCTCTTGGAAAAGCTAAGGCATATAACTCACCGACCGACGACATAGAGAGAAGCCATGGTGGCGAACATGGCTATGCCGAAACATGTAACTTCTCCCCTTCTTCTTGTCTTTCGGCATATAGAAATTCACACACAAATATTAATTTATACAGTAACACTATACTTAATCAGAATTGGTATGCCGAAATGAACCTGGATATTTTCTGAATTACATTTTGAAATGAGTGATTGAAATTGGCGATATTCTTATCTCCTCATCCACAGTACACTGAAATAATAAGAGTAAAGCATAAAACTCCATTCAGCTCATAAATATATGTATGTCACAAAAAAGTACCTAAACCCTAAAATGAAAGAAGAGAAAAGAAAATGCCTCACGCTGATCTACTCACGCCGCTCCTAGGAAGTAGCCATAGGTCTCCTCAATAGAATTAGGAAATTAAGGATTAGGGTTTAAGATTAGAGGACTAACCTGTAGGATAGTGATGGAGACCGCGGTAGAGTCGGGAAGAGGCGACAACGGTAGAAACTTTGGTGCAGGCTGAGACGTCGGAGGAGGTGGGAGCGATGACGGCAAAGAGAGGCTTAGACAGCGGCGGAGTTGGGAGTGACGGCGAAGAGAAGTCTGAGATACGGCGGAGGCAGGAGC